ATTAGAGTCGAGCATCCAATAACGGCCACTTTTTTGGCAGACAGTCCATACACTGACTCTTGTTCAAACCAATCGTACAACGGCAACTTTCTTCGGTCCTCAAGGTAGCCGTTATGGAGAGGTTCAACTGTAATAAGTATTAATCTACCAAAAAAGACAATTGAACATTATTTTCAAATATTATCATTTTAATAAATAGAGACATTACAAATATTACAACTTCAAAAATAAACTGTTTAAACACTCTAAAATGGCTTGACTCATTTTACTCAAAATGGCAGAGGTCGACTCCTTGCTCATTAAACAATGTCTTTTAAAAATCATTAAATGTTATTGGTCTTTGACATGCAGGTTTCCTCTAAACAGAAACCTGTTACTGTAAATCGGGATCCACACAGAATTTTTTCCAGGGGGGAAGGGGAGAGGGGGGTGTCTGAATTATTTTTTCTCTTCTTTGCCAACACACAATATTTTGTAGCAATTTCATTCTTGACAGGTGTAGTACAAAGCAACCACAAGTAAGAGGAAAGTAGTAGGTGTCCCTTGGTGGTATCAAATTTCTGCTCAAAAGTACTTTGTTTCATAGAATGGAAACACTCTGGGCCTAGAGGACTAAGATCCCCCACCAACTTCCCCTGGATCTGCCATTCTGATCCATCTCAAAATCATTTTATGGTATTTGAGAAGCCTACCCTACATTATTAATATTTTATCAGACTGTTTCATAACTAAGTCCTCTGATTAACTCCATTATGTTTCCTCGCCTTACTCTCTTATACCCATAAATAAATAATTGCACATTAAGGTATTTTCAACATTAATTATTTTTTTTATCAAAATTAGCAAAACAAAAACACCTGAAATATTCCGAGAATTTCTATTGTGTTGTGACCAATCACAACAAAGAAAAGAACACGCACACAGCCACAAAACCATAAACTAATTACCACTGTGGCTTACAGTTTTGCTTTCTCAGGCCTAATTGGCTTTTTCTTTGCAACACAATAGTATTCCAGAAATGTTTCACGGTATTCAAGGTTTTCTGAGTTTCAAAGTACACGTACGTTAAAAATGATAAAACGACAAAATAAAAAAATATAAAATGATAAAAAAAGGATGATATTCATGAAGAATGCTACTTTTATGAAATGAATTTCTCAAATAAAGAATTCTTGAATATAACACTGCAAGATTTTTCTAATTCCAAAACTATTAAGTAACAAAAAAAATTCCTTCACATGAAGTGAGATGAAGTGCACAAAATTAATCACAAAAACTTTTAATGAAACACTTAATGAACTGTAGTAATGGTTTTTCCTAATAGCTGAAAGTGTAAAAAAGTAGCCTCAATAGGTTAAACATTACCACAAGATTCTACAATGTAGTTAAAATATTATTAATACTTTGCGTGAAGTAAGCACAACTTTGCTCTTATATACAAAATTCAAGAACAGTGTAATATTATTTCCTTGGCAAAGTAAACTTAGCACCAATTTTCATTGTACAGGTGACACACACCCACAATGCAATAACAGCAGTTACAATGTGATCTTAAGGGATTAAACAATAAATTCCAGAAAAATTTATTTAAGCCAATGAGAATAAAAAAAGACCTGAGGATTTTAGACTGAAATGACTGTGCTTCAGCCAATCAATTAGTACTTTCCCAAAGGCATAACCCAGGGCACAACCTAATTTCACACAATCCCTAAACTGGTCTACTGTTTGGCCATGAATGAATTTTGTAGTAATATTTTTGACTAACTTTGATAATACATCTATAAGTGAAAACATAAAATAACGTGATATTCTTTTTAATCTTGAGGTACTGAAATCTGAACTTTGAACTTTCAGCATCTAATTGTTTTCCACTGCCTGCTGATTGGCTGAAATGATTCTTGCTGGTATTTATTGTTTGCTTCCACTAACCTAATATCAGTGGACTCTTGATATAATGAAGGGTAATAAATGTTTGCTATAATGAGGTTTTATTACATAAAGGGTTTTTTCCCTATGTTTTACTATTACTGGCTGGGGGTGAAAAAGATTGTTATACACTAAGGTCTAATGTGCCATTTTGCTTAGTTTTGTTTAATTTGGCAGAAAAAACACAAAACCTCCTGGGTACTGTAATTGAATCCTTTCAATCCAAGAGACAACAAACAGACCTGACATGTTTTTCCACCTTTCATTGACAGGGCTGTCACTAAATGCCTGGGGCAGGGGATGCTCCCTGGCTTCTATCAGCACCATCCTGGCTACTTTCATAGGAAAAATACATAAAATAAACCAGCCCCAAAAATTTCTAGCTGTTAAATTCTGAGTCGAATAATGGCATATACATGTACCCAGTAACTTGAAATCTAAGTGACAGCTCTGACCTTGAGCAGTATTTTTTCCTTTAAGATGTTCTTCAATGATTCACAAATTTTGGGATTTTTAAGGAAATTTTACACTTGGTGCTCTTGGGAGTAAAAAGTTTAAGTCACTCTACATTCTGAGGTGTCATCAGCATTATTGCTTGACTCAGTAACCTTTTCAGGGAAGAAATACAAGTCTTTTCTCAGCATTGATACTGTAGAAGACACCTGCCTCTTGTTAGATGCAAAATTGTTTCGTGACTTGTAATTGGATACCAATGCACTCACTTTAGTGAGCATTTGCAGGATATCCATATGATAGCAATACTTATTAAACACCTCAACTACTGACTGAATGAACCAAGATCCTTCAGTATTATTTCTCCAAGAGTAATAGCCAGGCACAGTGGAGTAAGCGAAGATGAAGTCAGCCTCTACAGGTACAGAAACTTGTGGATCAGGCTCCAGGGGGGCATCAAAGACATCCATTCCATCCATGAATTCCTGACCTACAATTTCAAAATATATGCTGAGTATATTTCATAGGCTATTTCCGAGTTCCAGAAACTCTCACTTAGGAAAATGACTTTTATTTGCGTGAGAATAAAAAATGATTATCATCCTCTAAGCTGAGTATAAGGAGGTTTCAACAAGACGAGTTTTTAAAATCACAAGAAGCCTCATATGGTGGAACCCAGCTATATGACTGTGTACCCCATAAGTATGACCAACAACCACAGTTTGGACTACCCATTGCCAGAATTATTTTAAATCTCTGTAAAAATGTCCAGGTACAATAATGTAAGCTTGACAAAATCAGTTGACTGACAATCTGACAATCTGAGAGTAACATTATCTATTAATAGTCATTAAAAAAGAACAACTATTTGTGTGTTTGAGTACTGTGTATGATATCCTATTAAATGATACTCACAACTGAATTCTGTTTGTCTATTTGTCACCACAAAAATATAGTTAAATTAAAGGAGAGGGGACTCATTACAGAGAGAACAAATTGAAAGGGGAAAGGAAGAATTTTATACTTGAAATAAAGTAAGGTCAGTGAATAGCATCTTTCTCCTCACCTTGACAAGCTTGGAAAAAGAAGATCTTTGGTTTGCCAGCCAGGGTTTTGTTATTCTTGAACTTGGAGGTAATTTCTCTTATCCTTAAAGTACCATCTATACCATACACCAAACCCTCCTCTCCATGTGTCAGGATAGCAAAAATAAAAGCATCATAAAGTGAATGGTCAGAAGTTGCTTTCTCTCTTACAATCCGCAAAATCTCAGCTTTGGTCTGATTGTTGTGCACTTCCACCTTAAACTGAAGTTTCTTGAAAAGCTTGTTCAGAGCATCACGATCAATATCTGTGCCTCCACGCTGAGCCATATGTTGCCCTGATGATTCAAGGAACTTCTTGTTATTTATGATGACAGCTATTCCTCTGGGTGAGCGACTCATCTTGTACCTCAAGATATCATCATGCTCGCCTGATGAATGATCAAGCTCATGGCTCCCAGGTCCAGGTGGACTGTCAACTTCATCAAATTCTTCTGCAATTCAAAATACCACTCAACATGAGTCTTTGTGATGTAAAGGTGCTCTGAACTATTTTTTAACGAATGATTTATTCTATTTTTCAGTCTAATCAAATTAAGCAGCCATGTGTGTTTGCAACAAATTTTATGCAACAGGGTTGCAGTATAGATTTGCTTAGTTTTTATTACTGTTTCAACAGGAAATAATGTACTCTATCAAGCTCCAAGATAACAACTTCATTGCATTCATGAATCCCTTTTATGATTAAAACCACAAGAGGTTAACTTGATGTACAAACAGATAACTTTAATACTTATGCTTTAATTTACTGCAGAAACATTGCATTGCTTCTCACATTTTACACTACACTGGTAACAGGAAAATGTTGTTTTAATTTGGATGACTTGTCTTCTCAGGATAAGTACGATTAGTTCCTGCATTGTTAGCTAAATTTCCTCCTATGATGACTGATTGTTTGAAAGGTGATTAAATGCCCACAATGAATCTGAAATGTACTCTGTTACCTCTAATACTGTACAAAGGCACAAATTAAACACATTAACAACCTTGAAACAGACAGAAGAATGATCTATTTATTCAGAGATAAATAACTTTACTACCTTGTGTACATACATGCTTAGGAACTTTATCCCAGTACACTACACTTTCAATTTTGACCAACTTTATAATCATGATAAACAATTTCAAAATAGAGAAACCAAAGCTTGGTGAATTTTTAATCCCAGATTAGCATTCATCGCCTTTCAAACAGCGTCAACAGCGTGTTATAGTGAAAGGAGAGGCTTCTGACTGGTTAACCGTAACCTCTGGTGTCTCACAAGGTTCTTTGTTGGGACCATTATTCTTCATAGTCTACATCAATGATTTACCGGGGGTAATAAGTAAGGACAGTTCAATTGTTCTGTATGCTGATGACAGTAAAATGTATAGGGTTATTAGTACTCAAGAAGATCTGTCTACTTTTCAAAGTGACATAGATAAAATTTCAGATTGGTGTAAAATGAATAAGGTGAGAATTAATACCAAGAAATGTAAGATCATGCGAATAACCAGGAAAAAGTCACCTTTACTTGGGGAGTATAACATTGAAGGTCAACCTTTGGAAAGTGTTAATGTGTATAAAGATTTAGGATTATTTACTGCTAGTAATCTTTCATGGAACCAACACGTAGATAAAATAACTGCTAAGGCTAATAGGGTTTTAGGGTTGGTTAAGAGGAATGGTAGGGACTTAAAGGATATTGATTTATTGGAACCTCATACTAAACGCAACATTGATAAATTGGAGGCTGTTCCGCAAAGAGCTACCAGATGGATCACTAGGTCTGATGATGATTATGATACTAGACTATCTAAGCTAAAATTGTTGTTATTATCTAATAGGAGGTTCACTAGAGAGGTTACATTTTTTTTAATGTAATTAATGGACATTATGATATTGACATTTCAAATAAGCTCATATTTTGTAAGGACAGAAATACAGGTTATAACTTGAGGAAAAATGACACACAGGACCTTGTTCCAAATTTTAGTAGAACTGATGGTTTTAAATATAGTTTTTTTTAACCACGTTGTAGATGAATGGAATGGTTTACCCAATCATATTAGAGAATCAAACAGTATTGCAACTTTTAAAAGAAATGTTTTAAGCTTTATTAAGGATAACTAGAACACTTTTTATTTCTATTTGTATATATTTTTCTTATATTTTAATTTGTGGGGGCATCCCTAGTATGGCACGTTGGCGCTTTTAGTTGTCTCCTTCTCCACAACTTTTTTTTTTCTTATAGTAGTGTTAGCTTATTTCATTTCATTATTTGCTTGTAATGTAGTGGAGTGAATTTGTAATAAATAAATAAATAAATAAACAACAAGGCCCTCAGGAGGAGTCTGCAGGTTGTGGCAAGCTCCAATGCAGTTACTAAACAAATCCACGTTACTGTCCAGAGTGCTACTCTGTACCTAGGGGTGCACAGACAAAAGAAGTTACAGTATAAGCGGTTTTGCATCTTCTTTGTCTTCTTCTTCCCCACATTCATTAAGACCTCATCAACACGAATTCAGATATCTCTGAGACTGCATTTTTTTACACGAACTGGCCTTCCATCCACACAAAACCATTGAATCTGCTCACTAAAACCACATATTTTGACACCGCTCTCCAGAATAGTTTAATCCACACAATTTTGGGTGAAAAAATATGCAGCTTCAAAAATGTCTGGATTCGTGTGGAAAGGCCCTAATTCATCATCATCACAACAAGTAGGCAAGCAGTTATCATATAAAGACAGTGACAAAAGTACGGTCAAAACTGTATACACATATGATGGCGCTGTAGTTAGTGGTCACGCTGTATATTATGGTCACCGGACAACTACCCAAAATTTTCAGTTGTCTTATATTTTCTGCAAAGTTGCCCTTTGTATAGCGGCCACCCTGTATATAACGGTCACCTTGCCATTTCCTAAGAGTGACCATTGTACACAGGTTTGACTGTGTTGTTTTCAACTCTGTAACGTTATGTCTCAAAAACTAAAGAATTGATTGTTTATTAATATTACAGATAGAAACAAACTGTTAATATTAAATAATAACAATAACAATAAAACACAAAATTGCATTTAACAAGAAAAAAAGGACTTACCTAATATGAAGAAACAAATAAGCATGAGTAACACAGAATACCATCACATTCCAAAACTGGTAAGGTCTCCTTGAATGAAGTCAGCTTGATTAAAGTCTGACAAGACCAACTGACAGGTTTTCCAAAAATGCAGTCCAGATGGAAATGTACAAAAAAAATGCGCATGTCTGTTGTTTTTTTCCCCACTATCAGAGTGGTCTGAGAAGCCAGTCCAAAAATGAGTCAGACCTTGCTAAATCATTCATACGGTTCCTCATTCTTTTAGCACTTGTAACATCATAGTCATAGATAACTTTGACCCTTCTGCATTCATGGTTATGATTCAGTCAAACAGGCCAGAGAAAACACAAAAACCATGTAAAATTGACTAAACAATTCCAATAAAAATCTTGTTCCAGAACACACCCATACTTCATATCAAATAATTTCATGATCTTTGGGCATTTTAAGGAAACTTTTGCACTGAAAAGAAGCCTAGTATATAGATAAGAGAATAAAATAATGTAAAAGTGAGGAAAAGATGGGTGCTTGTTTTCACCCTGTGTGTTTGTAATTCTTTGGGTTTTTCCTACATGTAGCTGTGTGCAAAATGTTTGAAACTTGAACAACTGTCTAAGATTCCTGTTATTTTGCAAAAACTGTGAATCTTCCTAAATTCTTAAGCCCATTTGTTTGTCTAGACTATTAGCTTTCAGTAAAGTGACTTCATATTAGCCAATCTTGCAAAAAAATGTAAGAAAAATGAACAGTTTTAACATAACCTCATACTCCTCTGTGGCTCCAAATTAATAGGGAGTTTCACATGATTCATATCTACAAATGTAATTAATGCAACTTCTACTATCCAGATTTTCCTCTCCTTAAAGTATACTTTTCTTGTACAGCTAGCTACAACCACTAAAAACACCAATAAAATAGGGGGTCACCATTCTTGCTTTATGGCAAAAAGACAACAAGGTAGCAATTTTGGCCTCAAATGATCATTTTGGGCAAAACAACTGAGGTGAGTTTCAAGACCAGCATCTTTTCAGCCACGAAGAGTTATCCCAACCTCTATTAAAACCATTTAGACTACAAAAGAGGCCTTTTCACCTCTCTTCAGGTGACCAATGACAATTACCACCATCTTCTATATTGCAATGTTGTGTGCAGTAGGTGTTGTGCAGTGCAAAACAAAGGAATTACCTAAGCCCTACACTGTACAGTGTGATTACTAAAATTATACAAAAAGATATGCCTACATTATACTTGGAAACGACACTGCTCTGCAGTAAACATTTTTCCCAACATTTAAATTCTGTTATGGATGGATGGAAGTTCAAGCAATTCATATTATCTTAGTAAGGCATTTAATCAAATGGGGCAAAACTGGTGACCGTAGTGTGGGACTGAAGCAAGCAAAATGGCAGATCTTGTACACAGTATTTTCTTCAGCTGTACATAACTATCGTTTCAACAAGGATATTAAACTTGGAAGCCAGCCATTCCCAAAAATATCATTTAAGTAAAGAAATCATTTTTCACCAATTTGCTGTCAGTCACCAACAATGGAAAACATATTGCACTCTTGANAAGAGTTATCCCAACCTCTATTAAAACCATTTAGACTACAAAAGAGGCCTTTTCACCTCTCTTCAGGTGACCAATGACAATTACCACCATCTTCTATATTGCAATGTTGTGTGCAGTAGGTGTTGTGCAGTGCAAAACAAAGGAATTACCTAAGCCCTACACTGTACAGTGTGATTACTAAAATTATACAAAAAGATATGCCTACATTATACTTGGAAACGACACTGCTCTGCAGTAAACATTTTTCCCAACATTTAAATTCTGTTATGGATGGATGGAAGTTCAAGCAATTCATATTATCTTAGTAAGGCATTTAATCAAATGGGGCAAAACTGGTGACCGTAGTGTGGGACTGAAGCAAGCAAAATGGCAGATCTTGTACACAGTATTTTCTTCAGCTGTACATAACTATCGTTTCAACAAGGATATTAAACTTGGAAGCCAGCCATTCCCAAAAATATCATTTAAGTAAAGAAATCATTTTTCACCAATTTGCTGTCAGTCACCAACAATGGAAAACATATTGCACTCTTGATCAAGCAAGTACTTAACAGTCCTCAAGGATGTTGGTATTTGCATGCCAGTGGAGGATCATGTTGGGGTTTGTCTTTGGGGAGGTGACTTATAAAATTTTACAACCTGATATCTTTCATAATCTTCTCACATGGTAAGCTCAGGGTCGTCA